CGATGTAATGTCAGCAAACCCGAGCGCTTTGCCAGCTTCCTGCCTTGGAAGACGTTCCTCACCCGGCCGGGTCTGGCACGGCGAGCACCGCCCTCCTCCATGCTTAAATACTTAATAATGTCGCGTATTCCCTTAATAGACTTCCCCGCGCCCCCCAAGCTCTGTTCAGTGGGTAAACCTACACTTACCACTGTGAAAACATGCAGATCCCGCTCAGAAAGGTACAAGATTCATTCCTGACACTTGCCCCTTGCTTTATTTCCCCATGTATTTTCTAGAATGCAACCATACAAAATTCTTACTAAATACAGCAGATTTTCTGCATGCAGCCTCTCTGAATATTTGCATCGACTGACTCTCTAGTCTGTTGAGCCAGTCGAGATGTGACAGAAAGAATGTCCATGACTTCCTCCAAAACAAACCTGCTGTTACGTTCAGTCACCTTGAATTGATTTGTAACAGTCAGAAATCTCCAGTGCTCTCAGATGAGCTCCTTAGGTCGTGTCTTGGGCTGGCCAACTTTCCTCCACTATAAGGAGTTTACAAAAGGAAAAGTCACCTCAGATTGTATTCCCTAAATTTGGAAGGTCTGGCTCTGCAACAGCTATCAGCCCTTTGAGAAAAAAGATCTATGAATTAAAAGAGGTTAATACAGATTCCACCTGTATCCTCTGAGGATGCAATTAACCTTCTGGAGTCCAGCACTGAGACCACTGTAGCTGTGTTATTACTAGTGTCCATCCTTTCTATCTGCTTACATCTCTAGGACTGTCTGCATTCAGCTTGAACACTCAAGGCTGTTCCTAGGGAGGGAGGTGAGAACAAATTGTCATATTTAAGGGAAATATTCTCTAAGTTAGTTATGCTCCCCCCCTTTTTTTCCCCTATTTTTTTTTTTCATTCTGTAAGGCAGTGTGGTTCTGCAGCACTTTCATAATCATAACTTGCCTCCAAAACCATGTGACTGGTGAAATTTCAGTCTCAGGATGAGACATTTTCATCACAGACATCTCAGTTTTGCTGGATATGTCTCTGCTTTACCACCAAACTGCAAAGCAGAAGTCACAAAAGCTGCACCATTTCTAAAGCTACACTGCAATGGCTTAACACTGAGCACAGCACTTTGCAAAAAATCTACCTACCATTAGTAACAGTTGATTGAAAGGGCACATGCAACTTTGCCTGACTTCTCAAGCCCTGTAATGAATATTTTCTAATGGCAAAGAAGAAGGAAAGAAATGAAAGGGATGATCTGCTCAAAGCAAGCAAGCTAGAGAGCACTTCAGGGCCCTCTCAGGCGTGATGACAAGAAAAATGTAGGTAGGTTTATTTTGGCAAGAAGCAGCAGTGAGTAATCATGCACAAAGGAAGCCTCTGTAGAGTGGGAGTTTGAGGTGCAGGTGGGGGAAGAATCAAGAGGGTGTCACCAGGAGAAAGAACATTAAAAGCAGTGTGACAGAGAATATATATTTCCAGTGTGTGTCTGGGATTCCATTCACAATGCCTCAGTCTGTGTCAGTAGCACTCACCAAACCCAGAAGGTGCCATGATGGGACTTCAGGCAAACCCATACCTACCTGGAACTCTTACAGAGGCATAAGAGAAATGAGCAGAGAGCATCATATTAGATGCTGAGAGTTTAGATTTGACTGAAGAAGAGGAGGAAGGAAACAAGCCCATTATCTGCCAAACCTTCTAAAAGGGCTGCATTCCTGATTACTCAAAAGTAAGCACAAGCTGTTCTCCAGGTCAACATCAAAGTAAGTACTAAAAATCTGAGTGCTCCTGAACTCCTCCTTGAAGTCTATCCATACCAGCAGCTGGAACGTCAGCAGGAAAATCCAGCTCCTGGGCACTGAAAATGCCACTGTGGATGAAAACACAGACCGTGACAACCCCCTGCCTTCTCAAGCTGTGACCCTCTGTATAGGTCTTTACATTAGTTTCTGACTTAGAAGTGCACTTTTGTTTGCCTAATGCACTGTGCTGTTATATGCTATGCAGAAGAGAATGAAAATTCCCAAGTTTATTTTACCTTAAAGAAATGAATTTCTTATGCCTGGACAAAAGCAGGAATCACCCCAGGAAGTTCAAACCTGTCTGTTGCTTTTCTTAGTTTAATTTTTTTATCTGCAGTCGAAATAGCTATCATTGTTTTAAGAGCAATGAGGCTTAAAACCAAGACCCAGCTGTATATTGGCCTGGTTGATAGAGTGATATCAAAGTGGCTGGCCTGGTGCATGAGCAACTGAAGGCAGTTTGTCTCTGGATCACCTGTGTAGACCACTAGTGAGATGTTTCCAGGTCCTTGAATTCCCAGAAGAGAAGAGATATTCTGTGAGGCCCATCTGAGTCTGACAAACACACATGGCAAAACCACTCTTGGTGCAGCCTGAGAAACCGTTCCAGGTTTTCATCATTTCCTTGTCTGAAATGCAACATAAATGACAAGGGCAGGCTTGAACTGGGGAGAAAAGAAATTCACAAGAGTTAAATAACCATTGGGAATTAGCTGAACAAAAAATACCATGTTATTTTTTAAATATAGTGAAGCTGACCTTTTAGGAACTATCTGGAGGGATTTCAGCTCAAAGAAGCAGCTTGAAAAGAGAAATACTAGGTAAAAGTGTCCCAGGAGATAGAGGAAATATTTAGTCTTTTCAGAGAAACTGAAAACCATTGACCAGATAACTGTTGCAAACTAGCTAGACACTGTGGGGGCCAGCAGACAAAGACACATCACTGAAAGGACATACTGTATATATGGAACAGAAGAGGGGGGAAACCCCCATCTCCTTGTAGACTATTGATTGGCATCTTGGGGATGTCTGTGCTGCGTTAGTAGCTTAGATTTGATTCTTCTGTATGCTGGGTTCTGAGCTGGGCACCCTGTGCCTGCGCCAGTACAGTGGTCACAAGCATAAGCCAAGCTCATCTGGGAAGGTGTACGTAGGAAGTGCACACATGTAAGCCAGGACTAGACATTCAAGTCCCTGCTTAGGTTATATCAGGCTCATCAGATTTTCTACTGGAAGAGTGTTGCTTCATCTATGCCTGGAACCAAAATTAAAACTACTAGAAGATGAAAACAAGAAACAAATCCTGAACCTCAGCTATGAAATAACTTATTATATGAAAGACATTGTTCCAGGTTAAATCAGAGTGAAACAGGCTTATCTGGCTTGCTAACATTCTAGGCTGAGAAAGAAAAACATATTTATTTCCAAGCATTATCTGATGAATAGAATATCCAGCACGTTTACAGTGTGGAGTCAACAAAATTCTTACCCTTAAGACTATGATTTTGCCTTGAAATTTCTGAGGCTGCGTGAACACTCCTAAAATTATGAGGAACTCAGTCCTATGGTATTTGCAGGACACCTTACAGCAGAGATCAGTACTATTATACCTGAGTCTCATTCTTAACGCATAAAAAAAGGTAAGTTCGGAGACACATGAATGTATCCTGAGGCTTACAGACATATTCTTCTGCTGTGGAAAAAAAGAACAGAAACTGAAACTGCAGTTCTGCTCATATATTTGTAATTTTCAACAGAAAATTTTAACAGGGATCATCCATCCCTGCTGGGCAATTTCTAAGAAAGAATCTGTGTAATTGTGTGGTTGTTACACCTCTATATTGTATGCGTCTAAATTAAAGTAGGAAAGCCTGAAAGTCATAATCCAAGCCAACTATTAGTCAAACCAGTTGACTGCACTTACTGTAAGTCAGTAATGAGTTCCTGGAAGGAAGGGCCTGGAAAAGATCCAGTCACTTTACACATCTGAGAATGTCACCAGGAAGAGAGGATTCAGATGTACAATGCTATTACAAACAAACATTCGGATCACTCCCAGTGGTTTTTTTTTTATCCCTGCCTTCAACACACGAAGGTGGATAACTTGCAGTGGGAACACAGGGACCACGAGCAGTAACATCTACCTTGCAAATATTTCTGTCAGACACCTGCAGCCTAAGCACTGCAAAGGAAAACCAACATTAAATCATTCTTCAAAATTAAATTTAAAATCAAAGTTAACCCTGCTAGGCATGAGTTGGAATTATTCAGAGAAGATACTGTGCCGTGTTTGGAGGTAACTGGTTTGTTTTACAAATCTTATTGGAAATAAAAAGCTATGCCTGATACATCTAAGACTGTATAAATGTTCCCAGTTTGTGACATGCATATTCTGTTCTGGTCTAAATAATTTAAAATGCTGTATACAGAAAGCCTACAACAAGTAATGCAGAAATATGAGAGTCTGACATTTCACACTTGTCCAGTTACTTGGAGATTTTGATTTCTTGAATGCTCTTCTGGGTTCTTGGGTACTGAATTAATGAAATTAATGAAAGTGCAGAACCTGACCACATTCTGCTCCAGCCTCTAGAATAATATCCTGAAGGAGCTGGGATGGAGGAGCTGGAAACTTTGAGCTGCTCTGAAGGGACAGCACAGGGATGCCCAGGAGACAGACACCCTAGGGGCTCCCTCACTGCTCCACTGACCTTGTTGCTGGCAACAAGAATATTATGGTCCCCTGGAGCAGCTGCTGAGAGAGGGAAATATTTCATTCCAATACATTGTGTTCAGGTGCTCCTAAAATAAAATTTTCCTTGATTTCTGGTTTATAGATTCCTGCTTGAAACAGAAGGAATCAAATTAAAAGAATCAAATAATGTCTCATAAACAGTGGACCCTGGCTGTGCAGCCACATCAGTGTGGTAGTGGTACTGAATAAAAACTGCTTTAGGGATGTTTCCCATTGCTTTTCTGCTGGTGGATAAAGCAATAACATGGATGCTGGGTATAGCTATATTGTAGCTTGCTTTAGTTTCACTAAATAGCATGAGGTAACTGCAGCCTTAACACCTGTGCAAGAAACAACCATGCACAATTTTGCCAATACCAATGAGAACAGGAATATTTAAAACAATGTGTGAATTGGGAGTGATCCATCACTGCTTTCACTCAATGTATTCATTTAAAAACCATTACCTGCAGCAATCTCTAGCAGAGCAAAGAAGGAGGGAGAGCAATGAATTTCCATCAATGACTGCTAGTTTTCCCTTACGAAAAGGCCAATTTGGTAAACCTGTAACAGGGATCAACAACAGGCATGCTGCTTTCCTTGCCTTTTTCTGAATCCTGCTCTACCCTTAAAGACTTTCAGTTTCCTGCTCAGCTGCACCTCAATGAAACTTTGCACCATAGAAGCAAAGGTGACTTGAAATCCTTCCCACCTCCCTGAGCAGCATGCTGTAAACCTGCTGCTGCTGTGGCCCAGCTGGTGGGAACCCTCTTTATCCAAATGATGTCTAAAGTAGCTAAATATTATTTTGCTGCTTAAAGTGCAGCTTCTGAGAATGAGGTCAAGCAAGCACCTGGAGCAGAGTCCCTCCCTCTCCCACCCTGCCTACTATCTGTTTTGCTCTCTGGGCAGCTTGGTGGGCTAGCCTTCATCCCCCTAACCAGCAGCTGTGTAGTGGAGATGCTTTACCAAAGACTGGCAAAGTAGCCCCGCTTTCAGAGAGGAAACAGAGGGACAGTGTGATTTTTGTTTGCTTTCTTCTCCAGCAGCAATGCAAAACACCAGCAGGAAGAACCTGGCTGGCTGCAAAACCACAGCACCAGCTCCTCAAAAGCGCTGATGTGCTGAATGGAGAGTACAAGTCCACTCCTGTGGGTATGCCCAGGCTTCTCCAGAGGTATTTAAGATATATCAGCAGGACTCTTACTGGAAGGCAAGCTTGATCAGTTCAGTGTGCAGAATCACAGTGGGTCAGGGAAGTCCCCGGAGCCACTTAAACTATTCCCTAAGGTGGTGTCAGTGCAGTAAGCAGAGGCAACACATCTATGCACTGAGCCTAAGCAGAGGCCAAGACTGGGCTGCCTCTGAAATCACAAACCCAAATTAAAAACAAAACCAGTGACATATGCAGAATGGCAGTTCTCCTGCATCCAGCTGGATGCTACTGTCCCATTTCCTCTTTAATGGAAAAATGGAGACAGTAAGAAAGAAACCCTGAAAACTCACACCTCAAAGTCTCAAAGTTGAGGCTGACTTAAGAGGCAGAGAGAGAGAGGGAGTAGGAACAGGCCCTACCTGTGAAATGGCTGAAACTGCCCCAATAGACACCATGGTGCTCCATCTCTCCTTATCAGCTGGGAACACTTGCAATCCAAGAAAGGATAGCACACTCTTTCTCTAGTCAACAAGATAAGAGGTTTCCATACTCAGAAAACAGCCTTCCTGATGGGCACTGTGACTGCTTAACTTAAGCACCTGAGACCAATCTGTTCTCTAGAGAATCACAGAATGGTTTGGGTTGGAAGGGACATTAAAGCTCATTTAGTTCCAATACCCCTTCCACAGGCAGGGACACCTTCCATTAGACCAGATTGCTCAAAGCCCCGTCCAACACTTCCAAGGATGTAACAGCCACAGCTTCTCTGGGCTACCTTTTCCAGTGTCTCACCACCCTCATAGTAAAGATTTTCTTCCTAATATCTAACCTAAATCTAACATCTTTACGTTTAAAGCCATTGTCCCTTGTCCTATCATTTTTACACCCTTTATGCCTGAAAGTTTTTTAACAGTACAGTGCCCCCAAACAATACAATTCCATGTACCTGGAGAAGGTGTGCGTTGCAAGAGCCACATGTGACACCATCAGTACTGCTCAGAAACACTGGAGTAAGTGCTACTGGGATGTAACACCCTTGTGACCAGTGAGTGTCCAGACCCCTAAACGAGAGGTTGATTCCAGTGTGAACATCACCCCATTGCCTTTGATGATGATTTCCTCCATATTTCCTTGTAATTTGGAGATGTTATTTTGAGTACTGATACAACAAAATACTAAATGAAATATTCATCTCTAATTGCTTTAGAAAATTAGTTCCATAGGCATCTTTTGGCATGACTTACTAGATCCATTAAAACTCTTGTAAGTATTTGTTTAATTAGATGAATTAGAGGTTAGAATAGAAATTGCAAATGTATCTTTACTCAGCTTTGCTTCACTGTTGGTGCAGATGTCTATGGACTATGATTCATGAATACCTTTCTTGTGGTCAGATTTACTTTTCAGCCCAGAAGTATACTTACATTAAATGAACAACTTTTTAATGCATCTACTCCAGATTTACTAAGAAAAATGAATCCCAGCAGTTCAAGTTACCCTGGCTGTCAGCCTGCAAAATGTTTTTCTCCAAAGCCTTTGCACAGCTTAGAGTGGTCTTTGGGCTTGTTTACTTCATTATGAAAGGCAGAAAGGGAAACTGGTAATACCGCTGTCATATTAAAATGTTTCCTAGAAACAGTTAACATAATTTAAAGAAAACAAATCAAAGGAGACATTGGGTTTTGTATGCTAATCCCTAAGGCAGAAGCTAATAAGCTGGAATTTACAGAACACAAGCATTGAGCCTATGTTTCAACTTGCTTGCTAAATCTTCTTTACTTACTAACATCATGGGATTCAGAAGAGGTTTTAGGTTTGGTTTTGGTTTTTGTTCTGTTTTTTATTTTCAAGAGACTACATAAAATGCTTAAGGGTTCTATTAATAGTTTAATTGAACAACTGGTTCCAATATAATTATAATAGTCTTTGCTAAGAAGTTTGCAATTTGTAATGTTTTGGTGTGTCTTAATTGGTTAGATTCACTCTAATGACTGTACATTACGATGAAGAGGAACCCTTCTCATATTTAAGTGATACATACTATTACAAACAAATCTGTAGTAGTTTGGAAGATTAATTTCAGGAGATTAGCAGTTCAGTTTAAGCGTTCACATTCCTCGCTGGAGATGTTTTGGTCAAACATGAGAACACCTAGTGTATTTTCATGGCCTTTTTACTCTTCAGAATCACATTTCTATGTCCATATTTATTCTGGTGCATTGCCGCTTCAGAACTGATTTTCCTTACATTGATATTCAACAAAAGCTCATGTGAAAACAAATTCACTAGAAAGTGTGCAAACCGACTTAACATTGCAGGAGGGCTTTGAGACCACTGAAGAGCTGTGCTCATATGGAGACCCTCTAAGCAAGCAGTGTGGTCACTCTATAGAGATCCCCTGTTCTGGGCTGGAAGTCATTCCTACAGAACACATGTAAAATGTGAGCAGTTTTTAATCTAGTCCATCTTGAAATATGAACAAAGGCTAGAATGAAATTAACCAGTACCTACCAAACTGTCCTGATGTAGAATATGTCCTGCAGCCTCTGCTACCAAAATGAAATATACAGCGTGTTTTGCCATTAAAGAGAGTTTATTGCTTTGCAGCCCACAAACACATTCTGCTTTGCACTCAATAAACTTGCTGCCTTTTATGATTAACAAAAAAGAGCTTGTTTTCCACTTAAGAAATACGGCTAATCAGTGAGCCCAAAGAGAGACGATTGTAAACTGAAAGGACTGAAGGACTGAAGTCTACTTCTGGAAAAGGGAAATGGAAAGAGCAAGGCAGATTCAGCAGAATCCTTCTGACAACCTCAAACCAAATCTGGCCTTTCATTAACTTTGTCTTCCAGCAAATGTATTATATCATGTCTTTGTCTGAGAGCAACCCACCATTACCAGGTACATTCTGCCGGTCACTGGTGCTGTTGGGCTGCAGCAGAGTATCCCCTTCGACCTTGTTGCAATGGCTGAAGGCAGAAATGACCAGGGTATTGATATGAAGTCTAACTGAACACATAAATTGTAAAGGAAGATTAAAGAACCTTAATATTATACTGTTCTTGTGAATAGGAACTTCAGTTTTAAGGAGAATGAATAACACTGTAAATTGCAGCAGTCTTGTAACTATGAAAAAGTAGGCAAGTATGTTTCATTAAAAATGCTTCTTTTCATGTAAGAACTCACAGTCTGGGCTGTGTCAACATGCTGCCTGCCTAATCGGAGAATAAGAAGAGCTGGTAGCAGTGAGATAAGGTACAAGCCAAGGCAATGTGGATTTTTGTTTCTTTGTTTCTTTTTTTCTCTTAATTGCCTGTCTACCTCAGTTTTTTTTTTTATTCCTAGGCATTAAGCAGCCTCACACTCTTTCTCAGATTTGTAGTAAATAGGATCGTTCATAGGAACTATATAGTTCATAGGAACTATAAAACAACAGGAGATTAATCCAGGCGGCAGAAGGAGTTTCAGCAGACATTCCTCTTGAATATTGAGATATGTTGGACCCAAGAAGTTTTAGAGAGCCATTGGCCCAAAAACCTGTGAACTTTTTTCACCTTATTGCAGATGCAGTCATTGCAGATTGGAAAGGGGAGGGAAAGTGGGCATAAAAACTCGGTAAAGCTCCCACAAGCAGCAGGTACATGGAACATTTTCCTGATCTGCAGGGGAAGACAATTTCTGTGTTGTACGTCTGAGACTCTTACTAATCTGCAAAGCTTTTTTGAGGGAAACAGGACATCACCCGGAGGTCTTTGTGGAATGTTGGAATTGACTTTGCTGGGCTTCGGCTCAGAGTAAGAGGATCCTCACTGTATAGAGTGAATCCAAACATGGAACCAGTTAGACTATGGGAAAAAAATACGGGGGGTGGGAGGGTGGGGTGGGGTGTGGGGGGGTGGGTGGGATGATTAAATTCCAGAAAGCAATTGCTCCTGTCCAGCATATTTTGTCATATTTTCCCATCATCTGGGAACTGTCCAAGAAACCTGACTAGCATAAAAATTAGTTAAGCTCTATTCATTCTATACCTTTTTAATTTCTCTAATTGGTATGTTTGCCTGCCAGAGATACTGCAAATAGTTTCCAAGTTATAGGTACTGTTAGGAAATAAAGGAAAGATTTAGATTGTTTGCAAATTACAGCATCATTTTTCTATAAACTTCAGACTATGCTTTCAGCTCTATGATCTAGTTTCTTTTCTGCATATACCAGCTTGTCAGCAATAAAAAACTAAAATGAAGAATCACAATAATACAAACAGGAGCAACTTCATTCTCAAATGCAATTACAGTGACTCAAAGCTGAAGAGCTGGAGCAAAACAAATTGCATAGTTTAAGTACTAATACTTTTTCACCATTTATACACAAAAAGACGACTTGAGGGGAAAGAAGTTTTGAAACCCCT